TATTTTCGTTAATGATATGTAGTTCTAAAGATTTTTGAATCTCATTTTTAACCCCACAAGATAAATGATCTAGGTCTGCCCCTGGTTGTTGCCCTACAATATTACAATATACATAGTAATATCACCATTTTAATAATTGGGCACATCTTAGTGTCAGGTTTAAAGAACATGAAATGAATAATATGCATATCAACAACATGTCTACTTGAATTGATTTGCATGCTAATGAAAATTTTGCAAAATCTTTTACCAAAAGAAACAAAAGTGGCTTTTGATATATTAATTTATTTGAAAAGATTGGGTTGGTTTCCAAATACATTTATTACTTATAAAATATTATTGACAATTCATGTTACTGTTATATCTATCGAAAAAAAAATTCAAAATTGAAGTTATTAAAATCTTATATGCGATCAACTTATCACAATAATGATTGAATTGGCTAGTTTTGATATATGTTGAACAAAATTTGCTAGAACAAATTGATTACGAAAGTTTAATTAGTGAGTTTACTTTTAGAAATGCGATTAAATATTTTTACTTAATTTGTTGCATTACAAGATATTTAATATTTCTGATTTCTGAAATTGCATGAAGAGTTTAGTAGCTTGAATGGTTCTTTGGTGATGAGATATGAATTTTGATGAAGCTTGTGAGAATCTTTTGAGCTTTATTTGTACTTTTATTCAAGACATGTAAAAAATAAATAGATATTTAAGTATCATATTTTTCCAACGAAATAATACTATTGACACATTTTTTTTCTTAATATAGTTTTTAAATTTCGTGAAAGGAGACACAATTTTTAAATGTCGCACAAGCACCTAAAATTTCAGGGCCGGCCCTTGATGTACATGCTTGAAACACATTAGTTTGGAGAATACCTTGGAACTTAGAAGTCCATACTTTGTTAATTCAATCGAATAAAGAATGATATTAGATAACTCTCAAGGTATTATTATTATTATTATTATTATTATTATTATTATTATTATTATTATTATTATTATTATTATTCTGTCTTTGTTTTAAAAATATTTATTTATGACATGACATGACAAGATATTTTG